TCGCAGCAGGATGTATTAAGGATCCACGTCCGAACTTTCCTGCTGAAGCGGCTGTTCTAGCCGATGAGCGCCACAACCTTTGTCAGGCCGATCCCGGAAATCCCCGTATCAGGGATCTCAATTCGGAGATTCGGCAACTTGTGAACGTACATTAGCGGAAGAAATGGGAAGAGCATTTGAAGACCTGCAACTTCGCCTCTGGTGTGAGCAAGCTTTGGTCCAACCCGACGAAGCGTGACGGCAGAGTCGAAATAGACTTTGGTGACCACGCTTCGTCGGACCCGGAGCGATGCGCGAGCTATTTAGCCCGCAGTTCATTCTGCATCCTCCGGTGGATAAAGCCGAACGTCGAGTGACCAGAAGGCTGCATAAAATTCCAAAACCCTGTGCGCCTCTTGTTTTCACCAGCGGTGCGGTAAGGGTAGCCATCGGGAAGACGAAATCCTCCAAAGCCATTGGACCCGACGGAATATGCATGTTGATGCTGAAAAATTTGGGTCCTGCGGGAGTAGCGTACCTAACGGAGGTCCTCAACCTGTCTATGGCCACTCTCGCCATTCCAGGCATCTGGAAGATGGGGAGAGTGGTCCCACTGCTCAAACCGGGAAAACCAGCCAACAAAGGAGAGTCTTATCGCCCGATAACCTCCCTCTTCCCGGTAGCGAATTCACTCGATGCCCTGCTACTGCCGTATTTTGCGAACCACCTGACCCCAGCGAAGCATCAGCATGGGTTCCCTAATGTACATAGCACAACAACAGCACTTAACGCCATAAACAATAAGATAACTCGTGGCCTTAACCGAAACCGCCCCTTGGAGAGAACTATTCTAGTAGCGTTCGACCTATCCAAGGCGTTCGACACTGTCAGTTATTCGACGTTACTAGAAGATATAGGGGCCTTCTCACTACCACAGGGACTCAGCCGGTGGTCGGCGAATTACCTGAGTGGTCGACACTCGTCAGTAGTTATCAGAGACAAAACCAGCAAACCACGTAAAATTAAACAGGGGGTACCACAGGGTGGTGTCCTGTCCCCACTGCTGTTTAATTATTACATTTCAAAGCTTCCTCAACCACCAGAAGATGTCAATATTGTCTCCTATGCTGAAGATTGTTCGATCATGGCGTCTGGGAATGGAATTGTGCTCGAAAGTAAACGGTTATCTCGCCAAACTTTCTCGCTTCTTCACTGCAAGGAGCCTTGCCCTATACCCTGCGAAATCCTCGGCAACCCTATTCACCACCTGGACGAAGGAGGTCAGACTGCAACTGGGTATTCACGTTGATGGCGTAACAATACCGACGGTGAATAACCCGAAAATCCTCGGAGCTACCTTCGACAGTCTGCTCTCCTTCTCGGCGCATACAACCGCAATTATCAACAAAGTACAGAGCCGCAACAATGTCCTCATGTCGCGGGCCGGCAGCGCTTGGGGCAAAGATAAAGAAACGTTGTTGGCAACATCCAAGGCAATTGGCCGGCCGGTGTGGTCGCCTGGGACTAGCAGGACGCAGTGGATGAAGCGACACGAAGAGGCCCAGATGCTCCCAGTCAAAGAGCATAATACAATGCTCTGCAAGCAGTTCCTTGTGGGGAGCCACCGACGTGGTCATCCCAGAAAACTTGCAGAAGAGAGCTCGCCAAGGCACGTCGGGAGGCATCTCTACGAACTGACGGACGAAGTCCAGAGGTTTATTAAACAACCTCTGAACCCGTCGGTACGCAGGCCCCGAACGGCATTCACAGGGAATCAGTCTCGAGTTATGTAGACTCCCGCGCTGTGAATGCTGTTCTAGGGACACAACCACCGGACGTGGACGGGACAGAACTTTGTCTGCCTCGTGAGACTCGCACTACAATAGCCCAACTTCGCTCTGGCTATTGTCGCAGGCTAAACGCTTACCTGAGCAGAATCAATGAGGATGTGCCCAACCATTTCCCGGCATGTGGAGAGTCGCCACATGACTCTCGACAACTCTTCACATGCCCTGAGAACCCCACTCAGCTGACGCCCCTCTCCCTATGGACAGACCCTGTGGAAGTCGCACACTTCCTGGGCCTCCCCCTAGCTGAAATGGACGACAACGTTGACGGATGAACCGACCCGAGCGGGGCTTAGTAGCCGCTACAACAACAACATCCCTTCCTTGTTCACCTTAGCATTGAAATCGTCAAGCACGAATTTTATTTCTTGTCGGGGGTAGTGCTCATATGTACACTCCAATCGCTCATAGAAGATATCCTCGGACGACCCGTCCTTTTCCTCCGTCGGGCATGGGAGCAGATGTTGAATAATCTCGCTTTGATGCGGATTGGGGCTAGACGTTCATCCACCGGGGTGAACGCCAGCACCCAACGACAGAGTCTCTCTCCCACAACATTTCCAAATCCGAATTTTCACTTTTCTGCGTTGCAAATGTAGCAGATGTCTCAAGGCTCCACGATTACCTTGCCTTGCCAGTCCATCGCGTTTCTTGGATGGCGGTGATATCAGCCTTTGTACTCCCGAGGACATCGACAAGCCGGGAAGAGGCACCTTTCACATTAAGGGTACGGATATACCAGCTGCATATCCTCAAATTAGTCCTTTATACGTTTGTCGGGCTCGTGATCAAGAGAAGGGGCACATCCTAGGCATGTTTTTCTTTTTCACTGGGCAGGGTTTTAACATGGCCGGATCCAAACCCAGCGCATGCGAGCTTTTACGCCTTCTCATTTTAGCTCGCTCCCAAACGGGTGTTTGGTCGCTACGTGGATATAAATATCCGGACGTTGTGAGTGGCGATTTGAACCGTACGCACAAGAATCAGTTGTGTCCACTCCTAGGTGAGTGGCAGTCAAAAGATTTTCCCACTTACGTGGAGTTCTGCTCACGGAACCATCCTCCCTGCGTATATCTCATAAACAATACAACAAATAATTTAAAATAAGATATTACAAATTTATTTAAAAAAACTGAAACTTAAAGGACACCTTTGATCGAGTGGACACAAAGCAAGTGTCTGCACATTAGCAAAACACAGGAAGTGTCTGCGGAAAGTGCATTTTAGTTCTTGCATGTGGTGGCGAAAATATAAATGGGGGAGAACCATTTTATCAAGCTTTGGTTATTTTTCTTGTTTAAAAAAGGTTAATATTTTAAACTTTGTACAAAATTTATAAAAATTCTACGAGTTTGATCAAAATTTCACACTTTATTCAGAATTAAAAAGAAGCTAGGTATGCTAGGACTTACCGTGGATTTTTGGCAATTTTTTGGGCACACATTTTCTTCCATACAAAGTATGCTGAAATTTTTTTTTTTTAATGGGAAAAGAGCAAACTCTTCAACAGCATAGACTAGCGCCTCACTAACAAGCACGCAAAAGACACTTCGGCCGTTTTCTCGCGACAAAGTAGTGAGTGGAAACATGAGCCAAATAGAATCGAAAACCGCGGTACTTGCATGAGCGTATTGTCGAATGCGCCAAAACAGAATTGAGCGGCCTGTATATGTTTTTCCTCCCACGTATCCGTAAAGAACTGTTTATTTTCGCGTACACTCTGCAAGTGTCAAAAGTTATTTGCGAGCTCTGCCTGAAGCTTTTTCGAAATCTAAAAGTTATATTTAAAAAAATAAATCTTTAACCCTAATATCAAGTTAATCATATTCTGATAAACGTTGAAGATAATCATGCGTAAAATTGACGCATGAGTTTTAACCAGCCGTGTTGTCGTATTTTTTTATTGATTAAATTCGAGTAAACTAATATGGACTATATTTTTGTATAAAGATGTAAAAAAAATACCAGAATTTTAAAAAGGTCTATAATTATTCATTAAGGGAGAAAGCAAAGACAAAATAGCGCTATGTTGAAAAAACGAAAAATATTCCGAAAACGCATGCTTCAATTTTACGCAGATTATCTTTTCAGGGTTAAACACGTAAATAAAGCCTTAGTAAAAACTATGATTATTTAGCGGCTCTATGCTAGGTTTGCTCACAATTCGTTTTAAGGCAAACTTTTGAATCTTCTCCTGTCCCTTCAGTTGATATCAACAAACGCCAGATGCAGTATACACACCTAGAAATACATATTTCGTTTTAAGTATACCTATTATTAAAGGAGTCCTAATGATTACTATATTTTTCTTGTAGATAACAAAAAATCAGTCAGTTCACAACGGCACAACGGCTATCGAGCAATCTTTTACTATAATGGCAAAAACACCGTTATCCACGGAAGGAAATGGATCATCCCTAACTCAACTCTCAAAAAAAGTGGTACCTGGCCCGATTTCTGCAAGTCACATAACAATCGATGACAAAAAAAATGGAAATAAAGGGTGCTGTTCAGTGCAATAAGTACACCCTGGATTCCCTTTAATAACTTTAATGTATTGCACTTGTTGAATAGATATTAATATATTTCAGAAAAGCTAAAATAATTTAGCGACACAAGCAGTATGTTTTTAAAATTACATCACAATTTGTAAGAGTTAATCAATATTGTTTGCAACCAAACTTTTATCAATATGAATATTCCTTAAAAACAAATTTAAAATCTTTTTTAGTTATGTAAATATCATATATTATGCTATGTGGTTTATCTCAAATAAATAATAAACACCTAACTGCTTACAGTACCTGATTTATTAATAACAGTTCAGCAAAACGTGATTCAGCCTAAAATTTTAGCATTGCTAGTAATAACACTAATTTACAGATTAAAAAAATCCAGAATTTCTCGACTAATATTTTCTTCTGAATCCAAATATAAAGTCAGGTATGTATTATGTAAGTAGAACAGCTCCCAATCTCAAAATTTCTTTTTATATTACTGAAGCTTTTTATCTACCTCAACAACATTTTCGAAACGGATTAGTAGTTTAGGAGCTTTAAATTAGTTTATAGACAAATTTGAATAATTTTTTTACAAAATAAAATACTTTCGGCGCAAACCTTAAGATGAAGAATTCCATATGTACATTGACTTGCGGTTTCTCTCTTGTACGTGAACGTATGATCTTTTGTGAATACAACAATGTAAATGGGATAAGAAATTTAGAAGTAAGAGCACTTAAGTACGTACATATGTAAAATCACATTTCCATACAAATAATGAGTTCATTAACAGTTAATCTTTTGTATGCATTTTTGCTTAACCCTTAAATGCATGATTTTTTCAATCTGAAAAAAAATGGTTAAAAATGCATTTTAGCGGAACCAGGCCAAAATTGACGAAAATTTTCGAGAAATACTTCACAAGTGTACAAAAAGTAATAAATACGCGTTAAAATGCGTTCGCTTACTCCATTTATCGTCCGTCGATTGATACCACTCTCGAATTGTCAATTTTGACCTGGATCCGCTAAAGTGCACTACTACCAAAAGTTTATATGGAATCTAGAGTTTCAATACAATTTCAGAAAATGAAAACAAAAACCACCAAATTTTTGTTTTCAAGATTTTATTTATATACGTGGTATTAACTAAAATTGTGTTTATGTGAATGTGTAGATCTCCCGCTCATTAAGTACCGCCGCCAAATAAGTAGTCGGGTTTTAGCGAGCCCGAAAGAACAACTGGTACGATGAGGCATGTCAGGAAGCTGCAGATAAAAAAGATGCCGCCTATAGGGCTACGCTGCGATCGGGCGCAACGCGCGCTATGTGGGACCCCTGATGACGGAGTCGACGTTCCACCGCCTGACTATGACGAGGTACGAATAGCAATAACGTGGCTGAAAAACAACAAAGCTGCTGGAGCTGACAGCCTGTCAGCTGAGCTATTCAAGTACGGTAGTGAGGAGTTGATAAGGTGCATGCATCAACTCTTGTGCAGAATTTGGGCAGATGAACGCATGCCCGACGACTGGAATTTAAGTGTGAAACAAGCAAGCAAGCAAGAAAACATGCTATTGTAGTATATCTGCAACACCATGCATTTATGCGTGGACAACTTAGTGTTGAAAACAGGATTGTGTGGGAGCTTCAAGCAATGAAAAGGCGAGGACCAGTACAAGTATATTCTGCTAAAGGATCTGTCAACAGATAATGTGTGGTATTGACCCCAAATTAGCCCTCGTGGAAGATACAAATGGCTGGATGTACGGGGTACACACTAACAAGCTGCGAAAATTGTGGAACCTGGTTTTGCTTCAATAAGACACACAATTGCTCTAGATAATTGCATGCGTAAACGTATGGTGTTGCAGATATACTACAACAGCATGTTTTCTTGAATTTGCATAGAGTTGCAGATCTACTTCTCTTCTTTTTCTTCTTATTTGGCACTGTAACCGCCTAAGCGATTTTGGCCGAGTTCGGCAAAGCACGCCAGTCGTTTCTCTTCTGAGCCAACTGACGCCAGTGGGAAACGCCAACTGAAGCCAAGTCCTTCTCGGCCTGATCTTTCCATCGCCACCCACTTCCTCTGCTATTACCAGCGGGTTCCGAGTTGAATACTTTCAGAGCTGGAACGTCGGTGTCCATTAGAACGACATGGCCAAGCCAGCGGAGCTGCAGTATTTTAATTCACTGCATTATGTCCATGTCGCTGTAAAGCTCATCGTTCCATCGTCTGCGGTACTCGCCGTCATCAACGCGTAAAGGCCAGTAAATCTTCCGCAAAATCTTTCTCTCGAATACTGCAATAGCCGCCTCATCGGATGTTGTCATTGCCCATGCTTCTGCGCCATACACCAGCACAGGCATGAAGAGTGACTTATTGAGTATGGTTGTCGTACGTCGAGAGAGGACTTTACTCCTGAATTGCCTACTCAGTCCAAAGTAGGACTTGTTGGCAAGAGTGATTCTGCGTTGGATTTCTATGCTTCCAGTGCAATGGGGTATAGTCATTGTACTGTGTATGCAGTTACAGCTGCACGGCTATACTCAATCATGATTCTTGCATCCTCGTTCGCGCGCTCTGGGCAACGTGAGCAACCCATGTGTGAGATGCGGTAACCAATCCGAGTGGAGCCTTGGGTCACGGCAGAAAGCGAGGGAGCTTCGGAGGGACCACTCCGACTTATTCGGTTTAAGGGCTCACTGAAGTCTGCAGCGTCTGTTCACCAGTAGGTGCGGCTGCATGCGGGTGTCTGTCTTGGAGCAAGCGGCTCGCTATATAAACGTGTATTTAGTTGCGAAACCACCTCCGTCCCAGCAATGGGTTGTGCGCTGGGTTTGGGACCCACCACGAAAAAGTTCTTCCAATGAAGAAGCGAAACAATGCCTCGGATGAGACCCATTACTACGGCAAATGTTTAAAGGACTACGATTTGAGGGCATGCACCTGGAATGTCCGGACCCTTAATGGGGAAGGTGCCTCTGCCCGGCTGGTTGATGTCCTCGTAAGGACAAAAGCTGACATCACCGCCATCCAAGAAATGCGTTGGACGGGGCAAACAAGCAATGTCTGGGGCCTTGAGACGTCTACTACAGCTGCCATGTAAAGGAGCGCAAATTCGGGGTTGGATTTGTAGTGGGAGAGAGATTCCGTCGCCGAGTACTGTCGTTCACCCCGGTGGACGAGCGTCTAGCCACAATCCGCATCAAAGCGAGGTTCTTCAACATCTCGCTCATCAGCGCCCATGCACCGACGGAAGAGAAGGATGAGGCATCCAAGGCTCTCTTCTATGAGCCGCGTCGAAACGTCCGACAACGGATTGAGGCTGATCGACTTCGCCGGAGCCCGCAACATGGTAGTATGCAGTACTAAGCTCAAGCATAAAGAGATCTATCAAGCTACGTGGCTGTTTCCAGATCGAAAAATGAGAAACCAAATCGATCATGTTGTGATAGACGGAAGGCACGCTTCCAATGTTTTAGACGTACGCACACTCCGAGGCCCAAACATCGACTCGGACCACTATCTTGTTGCAGCCAAGATATGCACCCTCGTGCAGCAAAAAAGTGCGCCCAAATATGCAAGGAAAGCTTAACGTCGAAAAGCTGCAATCACAACACACAGCCAGTGCTTTCGCTACTCGACTCTCACACCTGCTCTCAGAGAGCACTCTTCAACAAACCGTCATATACGAGCAGTGGAACCACATTTCCCGCTCATTAAGTACCGCCGCTGAAGTAGTAGTTGGATTTCAGCGAGCCCGAAAGAACAACTGGTACGATGAGGAGTGTCAGGAAGCTGCAGAGAAAAATAAAGGCGCCTACAGGGTCACGCTGTGATCGGGCGCAACGCGCGCTATGTGGGACCGCTATCGGGATCTGAAGAGGTAAGCGAAACGTATTTGCCGCAATAAGAAGAGAGAGGCC